GGCAAAGGGCAACGAGAGCAGGGGGGAGCGGGTGATAGGGGCCCCCCGCGCTGGCGGAAGGTCTGTTCCAGCACCTCTGGGCTGTTCCCCGGGGGCAGGGGCAGCCGGGCCCGCTGCGGAGCGACGCACGGGAGCCCTACCTGGCCGTAGCCAGCGGGCGATGCCTGTTGCTCCTCCGGCGCTGGCAGAGGCCGCTCGCACCCCACGGTTGAGCCGCACGGGGCTGCAGACGGCGTGACCGCGACTGCTCCGCGTTTTTTCAGCAGCGAGGAAGCGAAAGATCGTGGCTCCAGCCCGAGGAGCCACGGAAGATGCTCACGCTGTCCCCAGTGGGCTCTGCATTACCTCCCGAGAAGAGGCGGTGGAAACCATCTCAGCACCGGGGCCATGCCGGTTTCTGCAGCACCTGGGGGAATTGGCTGAGTCCCAGAGAACGTCAGCGTGGCTACAGGGGGAGCAGAGCTGGAGGAAAGCAGGGTAGGATGAACCGCGACGCGCTGCCGGGGAGCAGATGAGCCGTAAGTTGAGGGTGGCCCCACACAGGCCCATCAACAGAGACCGTCGGGCCGAGGCAAGGTGGCAGAAGTCTGGTCCTGGGTCAGAGAGGGAAGCCCCTGGTCTGGTCTGACTGGGTGGATGGAGCTTCAGGAACCATCATGGATAAAGAAGGACTGTGGGGGCTGGGCCGGCACTTAAATAGAGCCCCCAGCCCAGGGGCGGAGGGAGGAAGGTGGGGTGGGGGTCCCAGATGAGGTACTCAGGGCCCTGGCAGCCAAGTCCTCTGGCATGTCTAGAACAGAGGAAGGCCAGGGGCTCCGTGGCCGATGGAGAAGAATAGGGTGCCCCCCAGAGATGAGATTATTGAGGGGGACTCGATGCCAAGAAGTCAATGCATGTGATGGCTGCGAGAGGGGCTGAGGCATCTCCTTCTGACAAAGATCAGATTTTTCTTCCTTGAAGATCCCTGAGGAGAGTCAACCCCCCTCCTTGCACCCTGGGTACCCTTCTGTGCTGCACTTGGGCAGGGGGGTGATTTTGGGGGCCCAGGGGTGGGGAGGACATAGCCAGAGAGAGGTGGTGGGATGCAGAGCAGGGCCAAGAGTGTGGCAGCCCTGGGAAGGCAGGGCAGAGGTGAGAGCTGGGCCGAGGAGCAAACTTCACTTCTCCTTCCCAGTTCCTCCCACAGCTGCCAGCCAGCACTGTCTTTGCCCACCATTAAGCAGTGGCCGGCACCATGGATGAGGCAACAGAGCTGGAGCTGGGGGGAAACTCCCTCCTGAAGGCAGTGTGGCTGGGCCGGCTCCGGCTGACCCGGCTGCTGCTGGAAGGGGGGGCTTACATCAACGAGAGCAACGAGAAAGGGGAGACTGCACTGATGGTGGCCTGCATCACCAAGCACGTTGACCAGCAGAGCATTAACAAGGCCAAGATGGTGAAGTACTTGCTGGACAACAGAGCTGACCCCAACATCCAGGACAAATCTGGGAAAACAGCCCTCATGCACGCCTGCATCCGCGGCGCAGGGGGGGATGTGGTGTCCCTGCTGCTGGACAACGGGGCAGACCCCAGCCTGGAGGACCACTCAGGAGCCTCAGCTCTGGTTCATGCCATCAACGCCGATGACAAAGACGTGCTGCAGCACCTCCTGAATGCCTGCAAAGCCAAGGGGAAGGAGGTGATCATTATCACCATGGACAAATCGGCCTCTGGCACCAAGACCGCCAAGCAGTACCTGAACGTTCCCCCCTCGCTGGAGTTCAAGGAGAGGGCTCCCCCCGAGGCGGGCACAGCACCCTCCAGCACCCACCTGAAAGCTCCTGTCTCGGCACCTTCCCCTGCTGAGAAGGAGAGCGGCGGTGGCTTCTGCCCACACCCGTCACACCCCGGGGACAGCCCCTCGGCCAACGAGCCACCCTCCCCGGGACACAGGGCCGGTGCAGCCAGGAGAGCTCGCCTGCCCCAGCTGAAGCGCCTGCGCTCAGAGCCGTGGGGTCTGGTTGCGCCCTCAGTGCTGGCGGCCACTGCACACCACGACGACACGTGGCTCTGCACGAGCAATGAGCTGATCACCGGCATCAGCGACCTCTCACTCTCCAAAACGGCCCCCCCGGACCGCAGTGGCAGCGGCCGGAGCAAGGACCCTTCGCTCTTCCCCCCGGTAGATGAGCAGGCGCTGCGGACACCACCAGCCCCGGCGCCACTGGCGAGGAAAGCAGCCTATGAAAAGAGCCAGGCTGTCCACCCGCGCCTGCCGCGGCAGAGCACAGTCCCCGAAGAGCCGGAGAGTGTTGGCACCGGCTTGGCCGTTGCGGTGGATGCGCTGCACCGGCGGAGGCCAGGCGCCGAGCACTATGACTGTGACCCCCAGCTCCCCGGGGTCCCCGGCCTGGCTGAGGTGGGGAAGGTGCCGTCGGAGAGGAGGAAGCTCAGCGGGTCCCACCTGGCCTTGCTGGGCAGCTCACGGGAGTCCCTGGACAGCATCGCTGGCGCATCGCCCGGGACCACACAGCGCCGAGTGCCTGGCTTGCTGGAGAGGCGAGGCTCTGGGACGCTGCTGCTGGACCACATCTCCCACATGAGGCCGGGATACCTGCCCCCCCTGAACGTGAACCCCAACCCCCCCATCCCTGACATCACCTCCAACAGCAAAGCTTCCTCTCCACTTGCTGCTGGCTTGAAGTCCTGGGTACCCATCGCTCCCAGCTCGCCCCGACGGGGTGACTTGAGAGCCAAGAGGAAGCTTCTCCGGAGACACTCCATGCAGGCGGAACAGATGCGTCAGCTTTCTGATTTTGAGGAAATAGTGGCCCAGTAGCTGTGTCACCATTTGCTTCCCAGGGAGGTTACCAAACCAGCACTGGCCCTGCAGTAACATGACGGTTCCCATGCAGAGCGGTCACCCAGCTCCAGGGAAGCGCTGGTGGCCACAGGGGTCAGACCTGGGACCAGGGGCTGGACCGGGAAGTCCCTGCTCCCATTTGTCAGAGCCGTACAGAGAGCCCAGGCATCCAACCCAAACCGCTGAAGTCTCTTGTGCTCTTCACTTGCTTCTTCACCTTTCCCCAGGAGCAATCGATCTCAGACCATCCGAGACCATAAGGCTTCACACAAAGGCTCCTGCCTGCAGTTCCCTTCTTCCTCCTTATTTACCATCCGCTTTTCTTCCATCCACTCATTCTGACACAGAAACCTGCCCAGAGCCCCATGCCCGTGAGCCGTGGGGCTGGTGTGTTTGTGAAGTGCCTACAGGAAGGAAAGGAGCTGAAGGCTGGCGTGAGGCTGGAAGAGCCGAAACACGCGTCCCCAGCAGCCAAACGTCCTGCTACCCTCCCTGTGCAGGAGAGGGAGACAGTTCTCCACCGCAGAGATTTCCGAACGCTGTGGAACTCCAGAGGCTGGGCTAAACCCCGTTACCACTGGAGCCCGGCACTTCAAAGGGCCCGGATTAGGAACGGGCTTGTCTCTGTCTCTGAAGCCGCCGAAGATCCGGGGCATTTCCCACTGCACTGAGCAGCTCCGAGCACCGAGTTCCTGGGTGGGGAGCACTCCCGGGCTTGTCTGCACGGGAAACTTCTGCCAACAGCAGGGGAGCAAGGATGCCAAGTTGCCAAGGATGGCAAGTGGTGAGTGTCAGGGCTTGGTCCCAGCTTGGGAAGGTGCAAGCACAGCATGGCAGCCAGGACCCCCTCTGCTCCTGACCCCCCTGCAACAACGGGCCCATGCAGCACCCACAGCACGTGGCGGCTCCGCAGCATCCGAGCACCGAGCCCACGCAGCGCTGGCCCCCTCCCACCCCCACCCACGGCTCCCCAGCCCCAGACAGCCCCAGCAGCGGTGGGGAGC